AAGAGATTTATGAAAGATACTGTATTTTCTGTATGAAAGCAGACTACCAAATTGCCCCTGAGTATCCCATTTAGAGAAAGATTCCCTGTCTTGTTCTAAGCCTTGTATAACAGCAAATGAAGCTACTTCCTTTTTAGAAGAGTTCAAGTACTTTCACTTGGAAGTGAACCTAAATTTCTAGTAAGAAGGTGGATAAGGTAATATCTTTTATTGGACCATCTTCTGTTGGTGAGAGACACAAATTTGAATCTTACACAGCATTTTTTTCTCTCTCACCAATAGAAGCTGATCTAATAAAAGATACTACCTCACCCATGTTGTGTCTCTAATGTCCAAGGACCAGCCCAGCTACAACAACAATAAATACATAAATTTCCACGCACATACAGCTTAGGAAGTTTGCATTGACATTTTGCAAGAAAATGTAATTTGTAATTGGAAAATATAAATTTTGGGTTAATTTAAAATTAATTTTTAGAAAAAAAAATTAGATGTCTGAGTAGCCAATTTGGCAAGTAATGTTTTTTACTACTGTATTATGTTATAAATGAAGAATTTCTAAAACAAAATAAAGTGGCAATTGATAGATTTTGATTAATTGAAAATCTGAATTGGAGGTCTGTAGCTCATTAATGTACTGAAGTCAGGTGAACATGTTAACTGTAGTGTGCAATTTTGTAGCCATGTTGGAAATGATCCAATAATATATTATTTCATCCACCTTATCTCTTTTTTAAATGTTTTGGGGCAATTCCCGGGGAGACTATACCTGAATGATTCCACTCAACTCTGCCAAAATGATCCATGTTTATTTCAAGGTGTTACTTCACTAAATTATAAACAGATATTAATGTTTAAAACATTGTCTAAGCAATATAATATATTGAACACCTCAAGAGATGAAGGAAAATTGAAATTTAATGGACAATATAGTGCTTTTTTGAATTATATTTACAGAAAAAAAAAACCAAAAGAGGGAACAACTTTATGGCTTCACCCATTGTCTACCTCCAATCTGAGGGGAACATTTATGACCTTTAGAGTTGGAAGTCATCACTTTGTTTTCAGGCAGTTGTTGCTCTTGTCTGTTATTGAAATCTGTGAATCGCTATTAGGGAAAACTGGGGGTGGGGGATGTTGGAGTAGGGATTTGTTATTCTTAATCTCATATTTGATGGGTTATGGGGATTTTTTTTGCATCTGCAGATGAAGTATATTGTGTTTAACTTTCTTTGAAATGTCTCCTAAGAAGTGATTAAGGAAAGAAGGACTTGAAGGAGTTGAATGTTTTATCATCTCTTTCTGGAAATATTGCAGGAAAGAGTAGGTGAAGGAGGCCTCCTGTTTTATTCAGTTCTTGCAGGCGCTGTGGGAAAGGCCATCCAAGCTACAAATCACTTGGCATCTCTAGCTTTTGGCTTTTAAAAACAGGATTGCTATTGTTTTGAGTTTCTGCTTAGCCTGAAGGTTTGTCTGTGTTGCCCCACAGGGAGTATTACCCTGTAAATAACAATATGCACCATACTGCTTGCGTTGTAACTCGCCCATATGGATGCTCAGGGTGTGAACTAAGTGGTTCATAGTTCATGTTAGTGTAAAGTAGTGTTTGAAGAGAATTATGTTAACTTGAATTAGCAACCTTTTAGTTTGCACCCACTGGGTGTGTCTAAACTACATGGCTCCATTAATGGAGCCATGTAGATTAGGATGATCGGCAAAGGGAAATGAAGCCGCGATTTAAATAATCGCGGCTTCATTTAAATTTAAATGGCTGCTGCGCTGATCCGACAAACAGCTGATCAACAGTTTGTCAGCTCAGCGCACTAGTCTGGATGCTCCCGCACCGACCTGAAAGCCCTTTATCGACCTCCCCGTTATGCCTCATAGGATGAGGTTTACTGGGGAGGTCGATAAAGGGCTTTCATGTCGTCACAGGAGTGTCCAGACTAGCGTGCTGAGCCGACAAACATCTGATCAGCTGTTTGTCGGCTCAGTGCGGCAGCCATTTCAATTTAAATGAAGCTGCGATTATTTAAATCGCGGCTTCATTTCCTTTTGCCAAACAAACAAATCTACATGGCTCCGTCGACGGAGCCATGTAGTTTAGACATACCCGCTGTGTCTACACAGAGGAGTCATACATAACACATCAATTTGGATGTTGCTGTTCACACCCCATAGATTGAACTGCAAGGTACTGTAGACAAAGCCTAATTTACCTTTATTTGAACAAAACAGGTAGAAATGAATAGGGATAAAAATAATTTAAAAACCAGTCTACCTAAAGATGTGTTTTTGTAGAAATAACTCAAGTGGACACACTTTAGTTGGACTTGTTTGCATTTTTATAGTTTTCTGTGTATCTTTGTGAATGATTTTTTATTAAACAATATTTTGCTTTTGGAAGACTGCAAAAAGAGACCTGTGTGCCTCTCAGATTAACAGAGCAAGCAGCATATATGGCTCCCCTGGGAACCATTCTCAGGCTGACACTCTACTTCTTCCAGACAATTTAAACTAGGGTGTCCCTCCATTATGTCTCCTACCTGTGGTCTTGGAAGATTCGTTAGGAAAGGTCTGAATCATTCTGATCTCCTCCAACTAGCCCAGACGATTTTGATACCTAATACTCCCATACTTGTTTTTGCCCTGATCACCAATCAACATTCAGCTCTTTTCTGATCTTGTGATCTAGAGGAAGACCAGAGTCAAACATAGGAACCCCAGGTATTCCATCAGAGGGAATAGCTTCATGTTCTGAAGGTGTCCAATAGCAGAAAGGATTCTCTGGGAAAATATTACTTTCCTAAGTGAGGATATTTCTCTAACTTGCCACAGCCAAAGATTTATATCCCCAGAAGGAGTGAATGTTCCTCTTATTTTGAAGGATATTTTTTTCTCTAAAAGCTGAAGATCTTTCCATCAATTCTTTAGGGACCCAGTTCACAACTGTCAGTGTATACCTTTCACCTTCACAAGTTTTCTCAGTCTTTGCTCTCCTACTGACAGATTATTGAAACGTCTTATCAGAGCTTTTTCCTCCAGTTTAAAAAAACCACACCTTACTCAATGGGACCTGAACCTTGTTCTTTCTGTGCTCACTGGGCCTTTCTGCAAACTCTTAGTTGCATGGTCCTCTCCTGTCTATGAAGTTTGCATTTTTGGCAGCTATCATCTCAGCCATGAATATGGGTGATCTTGGAGCACTGATGGAAAATCCTCCTTATACCATATTTCATAGAGACAAAGTTTTAATGTGTTTACACCCAAAGTTCACCCCAGAGTAGTTCTGAATTTCATTTGAACCAGTCCTTTCACTTACCTGTGTGCTTGCCAAAACCACACTCATCATTTTATCTACTAAACCAAAAATAATCAGAAAATCTTCCTATGCTGTTTGGGGTCAAGCCATATTATTTCAAAGAATCTTTACATGGACTTTTGGCTCTATTTTATTCTGCTATCTGCTGTCAAATCTTCTTCCCCTTTTATAGGGGAAAGAGCACATGTGATACTATGACATCACTTCAAGAATGATCTTTTCTTGAAATTTGTAAAGCTCATGTGTGTGGAGATCCAACCATACATTAGAGAGATTTCATGCTTTCGTGCAGGACCCTTCACTGATGCATCTTTTGGAATGAAGGTCCTTTATTGTGTTCTACCATCTGTATCCTTTCACCATCCTCTTTCATGAGTACTGCTTATCAGTCACCCCAAATGGAATGCGCATTAGGATCAGCATTGAAGATGAGGAGGTTACTTATCTTCATAATGGTGAGTATTCAAGACGTGGTCCATGTTTGTATTTCCTAATTGCTCTCCTTCCCCTCTGCTTTGGATCATCTTTGGTTTGCAGTAGAGAAGAAACTGAAGAGGCTGTCAGTCTACTGTGCTCTTTATTTCCACAGTTGGAGGTACAAGGACAACAAAGTTACATGTGCGGACTAATGGCTACTCCTTTGAAAGTGCTCTGGTTCAAGGCACATGGAGCACATGCACACCCATGTCTGGAAGAACTTTCAGTTACAAGGGTAAGTGTTCTTGCTCATGTGAAATCAATGAAGATATTAGTGTGTTTAATCTTCTTCTTTTTTCCATTTTCCTTTTTAAAAAGGGGGAAGGAGAGGGAGAGTTAAATACAAAATCTACAGTAATGTGCATTTTAAAAATTATTACAAATCAAGAAACACAAAAGTAAAGGTTCTCATTAGTAAAGCTGAGTCACCCATTTTACACATACAGAGCATTGTGGTGCACTGTTAACCATAGACTCTCCTATAAAATAAGCTTTAATATGACTTTCATGGCAGTATTGGGAGCTCAAGAGCAGCTGTGTAGCCTTTGAAGTCCCAGAGGCAATCTGTCTGACTAAACAGCCTAATAAATCACTTATAGCTCTGATTTCTATGTTGTTACTAAACCTGCACTAAAATGCAGTCTCTTTACCTTTATGAGAACATCCTATATAATTTAATAGGAAAATATAATCTTTGTATATGTGTTTTAAATCACCATGTAGTAATAAATTATATCTTTGTTTTAAAATTCTGTAGAGTGGTTTGGGAGCAGCCATTGACAGCATTGATTTTTATTAAATTTCACTGTTTTTAAAAGTATATTCTGTAGAATCCTATCAAATTTCTAAAATATTCTGTTGGTTACTTACTTAAATTCTACTGGTTGTGGAGAGTCTTCAGATATTATTTTTACCATTATGGGAAGCTAAATTATTTTGTAGTGTGTCCTGCTAGGCACTAAAAAGTTCAGTTCAATCTATTCACTCTGTACTTGAATTCGTCAGGTTTGGAAATGAAAAGTAATGAGAACTGTGTATATTTGAAATAATTGTCATAACTAAAGCAAGAACTGTAGGCAAGTGAGGACTGTGGCAATATAGTATGGCATCTGCTGTTGAGGAAGTACTGGTGTAATATTTATGTTTACTTTTACATTTTGGCATTTTTAATTGAAATGTGTGTTGTTTTTTATAAAAAGCCCTGTAGAAGGAATTTAATCACATTTAATGGGTTAAAAGAAACTTCTGTACTTGCAGAGTATCCAGAAGTGCTGAGAAGGATTACGGTTATTTCCCAGTGCTAGAAATACCATTCTTCATATACTGAATGAAATAAATTATACACATCTCAACAAAACTTACTATATATTTGCTGATTTAAACATGTACCATAGCGGCCACTATTTAGAGAAGTCCATTTGGTCTCTCAACACAGGCTTTATCCCACTCCATTGTCTCCTTGATTTCTACTGGCGCCTTTCTTTCCCTGCTTTCTCTGCATCTACAGTTAAATATCTTGTGGGCCCACTCTACAGCTGAGAGTGAAATTGTAGTTTTCTCAATGATTGCCATTATTTCTAGTCCTTGTTCATGGAATGAAAGATGTTGAAGAAAGCTGTGGCCATCTGAGGCCAAGCTAATCACCATTGTATGCACCTAATTTCTGCTGACACATGCAATAACAATGCCCATGTATTTGCAGACATTGGTTATCCTTTCTGTTACCACAGCAGGACACCACCATACAACTGAACTGGTTAGTATGACTTTGACTCCTATATATGCTTGTAGAAAAAACATAAGAGCCACCCAGTTTTGTTTTGGAAAAAGTGGTAAAATATGATTGCGGTAGTATCAGTTCTTAAGGTTCTTGAGAAATGACACGTTGCCTTTAGCTCTGAAGAACAGTAGCCAGAAGTGAGTGTAAAGTTCAAAATGTGAAAACATTCATGATAGAACTCTATGCTTTTCCCTGGGAATGTTTCATGACCAGGAAATAGTAGGAAGATTGAATCAGTTATTCAGAAAAATGTTTACACGCTTCTAAAACAGGGATATGACATTTTTTTACAGTCTTGCTTACCCTTCTCTAATAAACCAAACACAAATATGTAGAAGAAAGTGATAGTGACTGTCACTTAGTTTTTAATCAAAATATAAACTTTTATTGATTTTCAATATAAAGTTTTGTAATGGGAACCTCTCAAAGGTGAACTGATAGGAACTAACATTGGGATATTTAAAACTGTGATTCTGTGCTGCAGTAGTCCCAGGCTCCTGGTTTCCCGTCAGCCCACCAGATGGAATGTTGGGTAGCCCAGAATCCTTGTGTGCTAACTTCCAGGCTTGTGTCACCTTGTCAGACCAGGCTCTTAGCCCACCAGGTGAACTGTCCATGACCTGGGGCTCCATTCCCCTTTTGTGGAGAATTCCAAAATGTTGGGGGTTTATTCCAATTTGGAATAAAACAAAATTGCAAAGTCTTGAAATCCTCCATGAACTAGAATCAGCACTGCTCTAAATATGATACACTCTTTAATTACATGATCACTTAGAATCATAGGGCTGGAAGAGACCTCAGGAGGTCATCAAGTCCTGCCCCCTACCCAAAGCAGACCATGCTAACTAAATCATCCCAGCCAGGACTTTATAAAGATGGGACTTAAAAACCTTTAGGATTAGAGATTCTGTCTCCTCCCTAGTTAATCCATTCCAATGCTTCACCACCCTCCTAGTGAAATAGTTTTTCCTAATATCCAACCTAGACCTTCCCCACACCTCATTGTTTTTTCAGAGGACTTTGCCTCTTTCAAGGTATAGGATGTATAGTCCTCACTTAATAAGTGGCTGTTCAATTACTTATTGCATACTAATCAAAGCTTGCTCTGAAGACAGACTTTCTAATTCCCTCATAAGCTTTTCAATGGTGTTGACCTCTAAAGAGTGCATCGTAAGCAATTAACTTCACAAAACATCAGTGAGATGAGAGTGGGTATCATCCACATTGTGCAAGTGGGGAACAAAGATACATTGAGAGAGACCAAACTTTTCTATTTTTTGGGGTGGTGGTGACCTGTTTGAGACATCCAAGGACCTGATTTTTCAGAGTATTTAGCATTATGTAGCACATTATGTGGTCAAAGCACAACTCCCATTGTCTGCAGTTGCAGCTGTGAATGCTCAGCACTTCTACAAATCAGAGCAGAATACTGAGTCCAGAGCCCAGATAGTGATGAACATGAAATTAGTGAGCACCTGTGAAAAGCCTGGTTTCAGTGATTTGTCTATCATTACAAAGGAAAACTACAAGACAGAGGCAGGGATGTGATCCAGTTATCTACAGAAGCATTGAACTGTCTTAACCACGAGACACTCCTTTATCATCCTGTAATCCCCTGCCTCATTTTCTATATATCTGCTAGCGTCTGCACCAAATGTTACAGGGTGCGACACACAAGTCATCTTCACTATGCATCACTGATTCACTGCCAGAGCACATCACAGAATTGTGGAAATGTAGGACTTCGCAATATTGTAAGAGGTCATTATACTCTCTTTTCCTCCTTCACTTTCTTCCTCCCCCTCGCTCCCAGTGCTGAGGAAGGCACATGTGTATCTAAGCTATCTCTGACTGATGGTTGTCTAATCTGTTCTTAAAAGCCTCCATTGCATGGGATACTACAATCTACCTTGATAACCTCTTCCTGTACTTAATTATCCATTAGTTAGAAAGTTTTTTCCAAGTATGTAACCTAAATCTTTGCTGCAGATAAAGCCAGTTACTTCTTGTTCTAACTTCAGTGGTCATGGAGGACAGTTGATCTATTTCGTTAATTCAATGAAGGAGTGACCCTGCAGAAAATAAAATGCTCATTTACTAAAATACAGTTTTATAATGCATGTGCACAAGTGGGGAGTTAATTATTCTAGCATTTTCTAATTTTTAAGTGCTAGACCCTGAAACTTTAGGCATGATCTTTTGATGTATATTTGTGTGTGTGTGTGTGAGAGACATATGACAAATTTCCTCAGGTGGTATCACATGTGTTCCTAACAAGCTTGGAACCATCAGATGCATCTCAGACCAATTCTTTGCTGATCAGAATTAGAGGGGGATGAGACACATACTTTGCCAGAGGGTTCCGCAGATATTTGCTAACAGAAGATTGGTGAAATTAGGGATGTTAAATTTTGATTAATTAACTAATTGAATAGTCAATGGGATTTCCATCGACTATTTGAGTAGTCTATACAGCCACTCCCCGACTTACGAACACACCAACTTATGACCATTCATACTTACAACCAACCTCCCATTAACCCCATTATAATATTTTCGAGTTAAGAACCATGTATGTCAAGTTTTTTGAACAGCGCGGGCGGTGCGTTTAAGAGTATTTCGGACTTATGACCAAATCGAGTTACGACCAGGTGTTTGGAACGTAACCCGTTCGTAAGTCAGGGACTGCCTGTAAAGAAAGGCACCTCTGCCTTTGAATTGTCAAGAGCCCTGTCACACTCTTGCTACAGTTCAAAAGTGGAAGCCCTGCAGAGAGCACGGGGGAAGAGGGCAGAGGAGGTAGAGGGCACAGAGGGAAATGGCACATCTCTGCGGGGGTGGAGGAGGGGAGGAGGAGGGCCAGAGGGATATGGCGCGTCTCCATGGCAGGGGGCTGCAATTCTGCTTTTGAAATGTGGGGGTCATTTCAAAAGCA